GATTAATTTAGCTTAAAGTCTTCCTGTCGCTGACTCGAGTGATTGTTTCGTAGGTATAATTATGTGCAACGCTACTACGTTCGACGACGAACGAACGAACGCTTGTGAAGAAAAAGAGTAGTTTTTATAAGGAATTTTCTACCAAATTTTTCATACCTTGGATCGATCTATTTTTAAATAAGTTTCTTTGCTGCGAAGTTGCTATTTCGTGTTTTTTACGAATTGCGAAATAACGCGTTTCTGGTGAATCATTCTGGTATCCAAAGACAGTTAATCTCTCGTGCACGGTGATCGATCGATTGATCGATCAGCTTTCAGTTCAATCGCGAGTACACGCGTACTACTCCGGTAATCGAATCTTTGTTGACTCGTTTGAGGAAACCTTTGAAAACCGTGCCAAATCGATGAGACACTCTGGAGGAAACATGGAGGAGGAATCGTGCGATGTTGCGCAATTTTGCGCAAAACGTTCAAATACCGGAGGAGGAGGAGGAGGAGGAGGAATTCAACCATTTTGTAAAAAAAAATATTTCAACACGTTTTAGAAGCCGCGAAGGCACTAACGGAGACGTTAACGTAACGAAAGACCAATTTATTTTTTTTCGAATCTCCAAGTTCGACGACACTGTATGTACCAACGTCTGAGCCCAAAAGCAAATTTGTATCTATATTGTGAATATGTGAATTTAGACAATGTCAATACATTGCGATCAATACAATCGAGCGTAGTATGTTCTTCTTTATTTTCTTTTCTTTTTTCTCTTTTTCTTTTTACTTCTACTACCACTTGAACGAAGGGAGTGGTAAGCGGCCTGTTCTCTAATGGAAAAATCGTGTAAACGTGATTTGCGTTTGAGCGACGATCGGTATCGCGAAATCGGTGTCGCAAGCGTAACATACACGTATACGTGTACGTATCGTGCTGCCTGCGAAAGCATTCGCGCAAACGCTATCGATTCTCGCGAGGAATCTCTTGCGAATGTCGCGAATCGACGACGACAGAGTGACAGAAATATCAAAGATCGGATCGAATCGAATGATGGAGTGAGGTACTGGATTATATAAAAATAGAGAGAGAGAGAGAGAGAGAGAGAGAGAGA